TCTCCAGCCCCAACAGCAAGCTTGTTGATAAATACAAAAGGACCTGTGGCTAAAATAGCCATTTAACCATATAACTATTAATTTACCTTAGATACGTCACGATAGTAAATAGGTATATGAGTCTAGAATTCTAATTTCTTCCTAACACAAATCTAAGAGCTAGCACTATCATAGGGTTGCTAGGAAATTCGAATGAAATAGGCTTCGGGGATCCTTAGAAAGCTACAAAGAGCTGGACAGCTATTTACTCTACAAGTTTTCATAACCAAAAAATATCATCGTAGCCCAGTGGTAGAGTGTATTTTATAATGAAAACAACAAAGAGAAGAGAGAAAGGGAGGGTGGAGAAAGATCACTCAGCTACTTGGGATGAAACAGGAAAGGGTTTAAAGTCCATGGATTCAAGAACACCAGTTCAGGCAATATGATGAGACTCTTCCTTAAAAAAAAAAAAAAAAAAAAAAAAAAAAGAGTATATCAGAAAAAGTTCACCCATTTCAGAATGTTTTCTATTTAAAATCCCCTACCAGGATTGCAGATTGAGAAAAACATTTGATAGAAAGCAAGGAGCTGTCATATGGCCAGAAGTCTCCAAAGAACAGTGAGCCAACCACTCTGGAGGCTGCTGTAGGAGGACCACCAAGAAGTTCCAAGCCAGCATGGGATACAGTGTGAGACATTGTCTCAAAAACAACAAAGGCCTACAAACTTGTATTCTTGTCAGGTATCCACCAGAGAAGATTGCTCAGACAGGGGTTTAAGCCAACAGAAAATCTTTATTAGCCGCCTAGTGATTACAGTGGTGTTCAGGATCCCAGTATAGCCCAGATCCTTTTTCAGAGGAGCTTTTATGCACTATATATATATATATATATATATATATATATATATATATATATATATGTGTGTGTGTGTGTGTGTGTGTGTGTGTGTGTGTGTACATATTGACAGCTGGGTTGACACGCTTCAGTTAACAAGGACAGTCAGCCAAAAGCAAACTACAGAAGCCAGAAAGCCATACGTGTAGGAACTTTCCCAGAACTATGAAGTTTGATGAACTGTGTCTTTGTTTTTATTTTGGCAGGTGGTGCTGACTACAGGATGAGTTTTATGGCCTGAATGGTACTTCCACCATGGAGTCAGTTGTGCTAAGTTCTGGGAGCCTGTTACAGTATGCTTAAATATTAAACACTGAATGAAAATTGCCTGTATTAAATTGTCAAAGGCAATGAGATACATGGGCCTCACATGCTTCCTAATACTGTCCTGAAGGACTCCATGGTAATTCTGCAACAGCAACAAAGTTTAACCTGGCTCTAGAAGTGCAACTCAGTTGATGCAGTACTTGCCTATCCTGTATGAAGCCCTAGGCTTAATTCTCAGTGTGAGGAAAGGGAGGGAATGATGGCACCGATTTGGAATCCCAGCACTCAAGAGGTAGGAAGGCAGGAGGAGCTGTTCAATGCTGGAACTAGAAAGCAAGCATAATGCAGGCTACACCATATGAGTCTCCATGCCTAAATCTAATTTTTAAAAAATCTAAATTAGGAACGTTCTATCAAATAGTCAGTTCTTCACACCCAGGAAAAGTCTGGCTCAGTGGATAAAGGTACGTGCTGCCAAGTTGATGCCCTGAGTTTGATCCCCAAGCCCCAGCACGGTAGAAGACAATGCTCACTCCGAGTTCTTTGAGCTCCGCTGGCACCCTGTGTCACCTGCAAATGCACGTCCACACATGCACACAATAAATAAAACACCAGAGAAGAGTATTACGCCTGAACTTGGGCACATCCTGGCCAGAAAAACAAAGGGAGATGAAGGGAGAAAGTTATTCTTAGAAGGATAACAATAACTCCCTCTGAGTTGACACGAACACGCTGAATTCAGGAAAACACTGGAGGGTTTTGGTGGGTTTTTGTTACTGCTGTTGTTTTGGGGTATGTTTTTGGCTTTGGTTTTGGCGTTTTGTTTTGTTTTATGGTTGGTTGGTTGGTTGGTTGGTTGGTTGGTTGGTTGGTTGGTTTTGGTTTTTCGAGACAGGGTTTCTCTATGTAACAGAGTCCTGGCTGTCCTGGACTCACTCTGTAGATCTGGCTGGCCTGAAACTCACAGAGATCTGCCTGCTTCTGACTCCTGATTAAGGGCATGTGCCACCACACCCGGTAGGAAAGCACTGCTTATAATTGTGCTTTCATTACAAATGATTCATATCTGAACAGAAAAGGACCTTTTGCTGAATAACTGACCTACAAATATTATCAGTTTGGTTCTTTCCAATTAAAAAAAGAAATCTAGGTGGAATCCAGCAACGGCCTTGGCCCAGTCTTGGTGGTCTGGGGGCCATTCGCAACTTCTCGGAGCCCTTGTCTTTGGTCACACTCGGGGTGATTCTGTCACTGGAAGAGTACTCTGGCTTAGTGCTTGGGAGGATATCAGCGTACCTCATTCTTGCACCTGCTGGATTTGCTGGGCGTTGCCTGCTAGCAGTAGAGGCCAGCTCTGCAGGTTGACTTTCCAGAACGGCTGCTGGAGAGGCGGCCTCCTGATGTTTGTGTTCTTTGCAGTGTCTCGTCCGATCCAGTTCTCTGGAGGTCTCTGGCGAGGACAGGCCACAGTCTGAACCGCTGTTGAGTGGGATGGGCCTGTGACTGCTGGTGTGAGTAAACTGAGAATCCTTCCATTCCCTCCATTCTCACTGCTCCCCGCGGACTCGGGGTGTTGGGGGCCGACCCCCTCAAAATGCAGGGAAGGGTTCGTTTCCTATCTTCCACCCTTGGTCCTTTCTGTGTTTTTTGGGGGTGACCCATTCACAGCACTTCCAGACTTGTGACACATTTAAATTCAAGTCTGGTTCTTTCTTGGAGAAGATCAAAGACTGACTAAATTCCTTGCTGGAAAAAGAAAGAAATATAACTTGCTGTCAGTAGTAGACATTTGTAGTGTCTACCAAAAAAGATCCTCTGTCTGGAGTTATAGATTGTTAAGAACCCCATGCGAGTTCCGGGAACTGAACCCAGGTCCTCTGGTAGGGTAGCCAGTGCTCTTAACCACTACCACTGAGCCATCACTCCATCCTTTTATGCTCTCTGTTCTCATACCACTGTACTGCTCCATGAGAGTAGAAGCCCAGCAGTTTGCCCTGCGCATGATGTTTTAACATCTCTATCCTGACAGATGCCACAGTCCCTCCACTCTTTAATTTTCTGGAAATCCCTAGAAATGGGAGATGTTTTTGTAAGAAAGCTGCTGTTGTCCCCATCCGTCCTTTACTTTTTTTTTAATAATTTATTTTATTTTATGTGCATCAGTGTGAAGGTGTCAGATCCTTTGGAACTGAAGTTACAGTTGTGAGCTGTCTTGTGGGTGCTGGGAATTGAACCTGGGTCCTTTGGAAGAGCAGCCAGTGCTCTTAACCACTGAGCCATCTCTCCAGGCCCCTCTTAATTTTATCTGTTTGTTTCCCAAGTGCTGAGGACTTAGACAAAAACAAAAAACAAAGAAAAAAGAATATACTACACAAGGTTGGAGAGATGCCTCAGGGGTTAAGAGATTTGTTCCCAGCAGCCACATCTGTCCACATCTGCAGTTCCAGAGGATTTGACATCCTCTTCTGACCTCCTTGGACACCAGTCAAGCATGGGGTGCACATATATAGTTGTTCAGGCAAAAATCCCAAACAGGTCAAGTCTATCTAGTTTGGAAGTTATATTCTAAGTTATCCAGTACCTACTGGTACCTGGTAGAGAGCTGCTTTGAATGCCCTAACCAAACCTGGAGACTGTACCCAACCTAACCTTAGTGGGACAACTAAAGTACTGTCTAATAGTAGCATTACATAAGCTATTTGCAGAAAATTTAGCTTATAGATGCTGAATGTGATTTTCATTATTAGGTCCAGAGAGAGCTGAGTGGTAGTCTAATTGTAATTGGCTCCAATAGGCCCACAGGGCATTACTGGGAGGTGTGACCTTGTTGGAGGAAGTGTGTCACTGTGGAGGCAAGGCTTTGAAGCTGCTTATATATATATATTCAAACTATACCCAGTGTGTCACAGCCCCTCCTGCTTCCTGTGGATCAAGATGTAGAATTCTCAGCTTCTTCTAGCACCATGTCTGCTTGGGTGCTGCCATCTTCCCAGCATGGTGGTAGTGGACTAAGCCTCTGAAACTGAACTTCCCAATTAAGTGTTCTCCTTTCTAAGAGTTGGCTTGGTCATGTTTTTTCACAGCAGCAAAACCCTAAGACACTCAGTAAGTCACCGTGTTTCATGCTAGACAACATGAGTTTGGATCCCACGTAAAACGTCTGATGCAGAGGCATGTTTAATCCTGGCACTCCTACTGTATAGGCAAGAGACTCTTTGGAAAGCTTGCAGTGTGGCTAGCCTGGGTACACAGCACAGCAGCAAAGAGGTGGAAAGTTAGCACCAGGACCAGCATTTAAAGTTGCCCTCTGACCTCACTCCACACCCACGCGGTGTCGTGTGCCTGCCCTCGGGTACAAACGTGGGTGCACACAAGTTTTTTAAGATTTGTTTTTATTGCTGTTCATCATGTGCGGATGTATCCATCTGCAAGTGGGAATGTGTACTTGAGTGTAGGAATAAGCTAAGGCCAAAGGCATCAGACCCCCTGGGACTAGTTACGGATGACTGTAAGGTGCCTGAGTGGGCGCTGGGAACTGAACTCTGGTCCTCTGAAGACCTGGCACTACACAGCTGGATAGACTCTTATCTGCTGTGCCATCAATCCAGCCCCATAAGTAGATTATTAAAAACTGAGATTTTAGGGCCAGTGAGATGGTTTAGCAGGTACCTGATGAACTGAGTTTGACCCTGGGAACCACACAGTGGCATGACCTTTGACCTCCATGCACACAAATAGCATATGCATACACATGCACACACACACACACACACACCATTTTAAAATGTAATGGTTTGATATCAACCTTTCAGCCATGTGAACACAGAATGCTGCATCTGAAATTATGTGCCTGGCTCCTCCAAGAAAACATTTATTGCATATTATTAATGATTATAGTTTACAAAATTAAATTAAATACATTTTTTCTACAACCATTAAGTGGCAATCAAGGCATCCTTTAAAACCTGGGCAAAGTCCTTGTTTTCAGAATCCAGCGGCTGCTCAGGATTCTGCGCCAGGCCCACCAATCCACGAGTTCAGATAGTCCAGGATCCTTTGAGTAACTGGAACGTTTTCTGAACGCTTTACAACTGTTTTCACATAAAGCCCTGAAACAGGCTCAGCAATTTCTGTTATGAAATGGGGGTCTTGACTTGTAGAAACAGGCGTTTCATTCCTTGAGCCATCTTCCTGCCCTACTCCATGGCCTTAAAGAAAAGAAAACCTCAATTATTAACTTATTAACTTAGACATCAGTCATTAAAGTCTTGGACATAAACCAAGGTATGACTATGCCATCAGACGTCTTTCTAAAAGAAAAAGCTGAGGCAAAAACAGCAAACATGATAACTGTGAACTTTCAAACCACAACCTTCATGACCAAGAACTGCCAGCAGTTTTTACACAATGCTTTATTGAGATATACCTAACTCCTTTTACAGGGCACAATTCAATGGTTTTTAGTCTATTAGGCTTGAGCAACCAGCGCCAAAATCGACTTACGAGTATTTTCAGCCACTAAAAGGCACCATGCATCCTCTCTGTCACTCCAATCCCCAGCAATTACACCAAGTGACTTTCGGGTTCCTTCGATTTCCAGCATGTACTAGGAGGTTCAGAAAGTTCCACCCAACAACTGGGATGATTTTTAAAACTCCTTGGTTGCTGTTAAGGCCCTGAAACTGCTTGCTCGCCGTATGCTACACCGTCAGCAGGAAATGAGCAGCATTCGGGCCACTGTCCCATTCTCTGCACTACCCAGGTGAATTCACATGCTCCAGATAAACAAGGTGGCTGACTTGGTCAATCAATCAATAATGTCCAGATGACAAGACTTATTAGCTCCTAGAATTTTGCTCTTTGCAGATTCCATCACCGCAAATTATCTAAGAACCCGCTTGCAGCGGCTTTGCATTATATCACGGAGTTCAAGCACAGAAGGTCGCTTCCGTGAGGCGGGCGAAGGGCGAGAAGCCGATCTTGCCCGAGAACCCTACCTGATACCTTCTGTTTCCGTGTAAATAAATACACCGAGCCCAGCACCGACCAGGCGCCGACTGCGTAGAAAACAGCCATCCGCCGGTACCAGACCGAGGCCTGGTCAGCACGCATGGCTCCAAAGCGGACCCACAAGAGCTCATGTAGAGCCTTTCAATCAGAGCGTCGCAGCGGCCACCAATAACCAACCCTAAGCCACTTCCTGCTCCGGCCGCGACGCATTTTGGGACTCGTAGTCCACAGTAAATCCAGGCTAGGACTGAGGTTTTACTCTAGAGGACCGTAGACACGGCGCGCAGCTGCCAGCTGGCGACTACACAGTACACCATGTGATGGGGAGCAGACGGCGACTTGAAACCTTCTCACTTACCTCTAAGTCTAACCCTGCCCTCCACATGTCAGTATTTGAAATGGCTTACTCCCTTTCCTTTAATAGCTTTCAGAGTTTCGAATACACTGTATTTGCAACTCGCTTCTTTCCTATTATACTTACCAGCAACTCTAGGTCCAATTCTTTGCGGCTCCCTTGGTCCTTTCCCAACTACACCCTGTCGCCCACCACTCAGGTTTATCATCCTATTAGCTTTTATCCTCCCTCATACAAAGGTGCACACATCCTTAAAAATAAATAGACAGAAAGACAGATGATCGATAAGGGGGCTGGAGAGGTGGCTCAGCGGTTAAGAGCACACTCACTGCTTTCCCGAAGTTCCCGAGTTCAATTCCCAGCACCACATGGTAGCTCACAACTGTCTGATGCTGTTTTCTGGTCTGCAGGTGTATGTGCAAAGTACCCATATACATAAAAATAAATAAGTATACTTAATAAAAAAAATTAAGCCTTTAATTCCATCAACTGCTTCTCTTATTCATCTACTTCTCAGAATAATTTATTTGCATGCCAGTAGTGTGAGCAATCTGAGAGCAAGCCTGGGTGTTTACCCAAAGCGGGCTGAGTAACCTTCTCTGAGTAAGCCTTCCTCAAACATCACTTCTAAAGCAGTTGTCACCACTGACCCTCTGTGCTCTGGCGGCTTCAAATCCTATTCCCTGTTATCCTTCAGGGTTCTTTTTACGTTTGTGTTTAGCCTATAGAAATATATACCTATAACATATAACTCAAAAGGGGCTAAAATAAACCTAGAAGCAAGCACGCACAACACACAAACAAAACAAAACAAAAACAACTTGCTACCTTGGAATGGGCAGATATCTTAGGATACCAGAAGCATGAAGCCCATAATAAAGGAGGATTAATTGGACATAAGAGTCATAGTTGAGAAAAATGGGGGGGAAAAAGCCACTGTGTAAAAACATTCTGAGGTCAGAGGTTAGCATCAGGTGTCTTCCTTAATCACCTAGTGGTGTGACAGAGTGTCACTGAACCTGTGGCAGACCTGGCTGACCAGGAAGCCCAGGGTCCCTCCTGTTTCCACTCCCCAGTACTGGGATTCCAGGAGCCTGGCTTTCGTGTGGTTGCTGGGGATCAGAGCTCAGGTATTGCTTGTGAAGCAAGCGCTCTTATCTACTGAGCTATCTCCCCAACCCAGTTGAGCAGTTGGAAGTCTTACTGGTAAGAGCATAAAATGTTGTATTATCTTTACAAATATGGCAGGTTTTCTTTTTCAAGATTTTTCTTTTTCTGTGTGTGACAGTATATGCCACATGTAGATGGGTGCATGTGGAGGCCAAGAAAAGGGCATCAGATCCCTGGAGCTGGAGTTACAGGTGGCTGTGAGAGGGGTGCTAGGATCTGAACTCAGGTGGTCTGGAAGAACAGCAAGCAGTCCTGACCACCAAGCTATCTATCTCTCCAGCCCCTAAGGTAGAACATACAGCAATCTTACAATCTATTCCATCCTACTCATTCCCAGTTACTTCCTCAGGAGAAATGAAAAGCCATGTCGACAAGACCTGCGCACGCTGTTCATATTTTATTCACAGGAATAGAAACCACTCAAATATCTGAGGAAAAAGAGAATAAAAGTGATGTACCACTTGGCGATACATATGAATTTCGAGTTGATTCGGGTAAATGAAAGGTAAACAGACATACAACCTAAAAGCAAACTGATAGAGGGGGAAATCTGGTCAGTAGTCTGCGGCCAACACATAGGTTTCCCCTAGCAAAGCTGATTAAATTGTGCACTTAACTGGGTGAAGTTATTGTATATAAAGTATATCTCAATGAAGTTGTAAAAAGGAAAACAATTGTATTATTTCACACTTGCCTCTCATCTTATTCTCATCAACTGGACTCATGTTACCTATTACAGCCTTTTAGTCTCTAGTCGAGACTCTGCTGTATACAAATCCACACTGTCAGCCTGCTGAACATTTCCAATGTGTATATCACACAAGCTCCTTAAAATGTACAGAACTGAACTACACAGAAGAAACACTCTTCTGTTCCCTAATTAAGGCAGTGACTGCAAAAACCACCCCCCAAGAAATATTGACCCCCTTCTCATGTTGTCGCGTTCATCACTTCTGAACAGCATACTCTGGTTTAAGACTCATTTTTCTCTCCCATCCTTCCTGCCATTCAAGTCCTAGTTTTTTACACCACAACTGACCATTTCAGCCCCTGCCTGAGGTAAGTGTGCCTTGATTTCAAACAGAGCTCAGAGTTTTCATGAGGTACAGTGGACTCAGTGGTACCCACTCAGGGAGCACTCTACCCCTCCTCCCCACTGGGGCCTAGAAGTGGCACCGTATGGCCACGTCTTCTCTGTCAGTCACTCAGAGGTGCTCTCATCTTACCTTACTGGAGAGAACCTGGCTGCGATGGAACCGCCATATGCTTTCTTCTGTTAACTTGTAACAGATAGGTCCAATGAGGGAATTTTAGTTCCAATCCACTTAAAATTTTATGTCCTCTTCCATAAGATGTGTCTCAATTGAAAATTACATAAAAATCTCCTCTGGGAAAGGAAATATTATATAAACTCTTAACATCTGAAATGTATCTGTTAGATACTAAATGTTTCCAAAGCATAGAACGGAGACAAAGGAGAGTAAATATGAACTTCAAAGGTAGACAATTATAATCAGTCCAGGTGGCCTAACATCCAACTCACAGTTCTCTTTCAGTCTACTTAGGACTTTACTTCCCCTTGAAGCTTTACTTCCCCTACTGAGATGGCTCAGTAGGTAAGGGCACTTGTTGACAAAACTGATGGCCTGAGTTTTATTCCTGAGAACCACAACCCACAAGGTGGAAGGAAAGAGCCACCTCCACTATGTTGTCCCCTAACCTTCATGAGCATGCATGTTCTCTCTCTCTCTATCCCTCTCAAACACACACCCACTCAAAAATAAAATCTGCATTATTTTGGCCAATGCTGTCCTCATCCAGATTTATTTTCTTTATGATCATTAAGACTTTCACTTAAACAAGCAGCCCAAACTACATAAACTCTGATTTTATAAAGACTCTAAAACATTAAGGTATAAAAAGTAAGTAAACATCTACACTTAGCAGAACATTTATGACATATAATTCCATGAGTAGGAAAACAGACAGAGAAGGAATACAAATAAATTACAGCCTGAAGATGTATTATAACCTGAAGACATACATATAAAAAATTCCTTGGGTTATTTATTAGAATCCCCCAGAAAGGTAAAAGGAATGTTGCCAGGACAATAACAACGTGAGCACAGTCTGAGAGCACTGTCTTCCATTTCCGGGCTGTGCCGTCAGCTTAAGAGGCACTGGACACAGCCAGCTTCTTCAAGTGATCCATGAACACCTGCAGGCTGACATCGTCCGTCAGGATGGGCGCTCCAGTTTCCTGAAATGCAACCAGAGAGGCTTACTGACAAAGACCTCCACAGCCACTTAGGATTCCCGAGCTGCTCAGCGCCTTCTGCCTGGGAACGCTGACCGGTGTCACCTTTGCTCCTCACCACCTGTCCTCCAGCTAGCTAATGCCATCATCAGAAGCATGCTTTTCTTTACTGCCTTTCCTGAGATCTGGCATTCCTGCCCATTGCCAAGAGGGCTGAACATATGGCATTTCATCCTTTGCCAGGGTCAAACAGACACAAGTCAAATCATCCGGAACTCCTCTTCAGTTGTGAGACATCCATGGCCTGTCCTCCATCCCCTCATGGAGCACACCACTGCCAGCACCAAACCTATCTCTGAAATGCTCTACTCTGACAGAAAGTTGTCACAGGCATGTGAATGAGTGACATCACCAACATATACTATTTGTAATATCAGAACATGTTATAACTTAATTAATGTTTTGAGGGAAAAGAGTAGATAGAAATTGTAGTTTATATCAAGATGCCAATTTATAAAGAAATATATTTATTTTGTATCACCTAAAATGTAGCTAAAACTAGTGGTATGGGTAATTTATTTGTTTCTTTCCTAAAATCAGTAATCCTGAGGAAGAAAATATGATGATAGAGGTAGACAATTCCAAATGTCCACATAAATAAATAATGTCAGATAAAGTAGATGTCACTGAAGAGAAAACTATTAGAGACACAAAAGAACATGACTTCTGATAAAAAGACTAACACACTAAGAAAACATAGTGATTCTAAATATGCACACACCAAACAGAGCTGCAAGGCACATGAAAAGGCAAGCAATGAAAGTGAAAAGAGTAATATTACACCGAGAGTTAGGCTGGGAACCCAGTCACAAACTGGGAGAACACAAATTTAACTGGTAGGGTATACAGGAACTCAGTGATGCTGCCAACCGCCACAGAGCTGAACGAGCACTGACACAACATCCCAGCAAGTAGCTGCACAGTACACATTCCTTTCCAGAGACCATGGAATGTACACCGAGTCAGATCATGTCCTCAGATCATAAACCTCTACAAATTTAAAAGAACTGAAATCATACAAAGTATTTTCCAACTAAAACAGGATCTACAGAGAAACCAATAATAAGCAATAAGGAAAACTGCACAGATGGAAAGTAAGCAACACACAGGAAAACGTGGGAGACACAGCTACAGCAGGGCTGATGGGGAACAGAAGCGAGGACGGAGGAGAATGTCACCCTAACAATTACTTATTTTACACGTATAGGTGCTTTACCTGCATGCATGTCTGTGTGCCATGTGCATGCAGTGCCCTTGGAGGCCACTGGATCCCATAGCACTGGAGCTAAGGATGGTTTTGACTCACACAGGGTCCTGGGAATCAAACTGGGATTTTCCTGAAGAGCAGTCAGTGCTTCACCACTGAGCCATCTCTGCAGGCCCACACACCAACCATTTAAGCTCTATCACCAGAGTTAAAGAAATCTAAAGCAAACAGGAAGTAAGAGCAGAAGAGAAGTAGGTTAGGTGGAAAATAAAGACAGGATGAAGAAAAGTCAATGAACGAAGCTCTAGTACTTCTGAAGATAAGTAAACATTCAAATGCATAGCAGGACAAGGGAAGAAAATGAAATTTACTCCTATAAGGAATGAAGCTGGAATGTCACCACAGATTCTATGGACATCTAAAAAATAGTGTATGTGTGCATGTATGTGTGCCTGTGTGTGTGTGTGTGTGTGTGTGTGTGT